ATGTGTGTTGAACTATATCATAGATATGGTGGAAGAATTTTATTCCATTATAATTGATATTACAGACTGATTAAAAACAATAATAACTGTAATAATTATTGTTGTAGTTTTTTAGAAAAAGTAATATTTCCTAACGATGCAATTGCAGAGGTAAAAAAAATCTGTAGACTTAACATGTTTTTCATTTCCTTGACTTTTGTTATGATTTCATTTTTCTTAACTAATTATAATTTGAAAACATTGAAGTTGAGTTGTCTTCATTTCATCATAAGATAATCAATGGTGAATTGCAGTTGTGGTTTGGAACACACTGTTAAAATAAAACTGGGTTTTATAATAACTTAAATCACACAGAGAACCTTAAGTTTAAAAATATACATTAAATCTTGTGATATAGGTAAAGTATTTAACTATTATTCCAGTACGTCTATGTATATCAAGAGGAATATAGTTAACATTACATCACAAAAATTAAAATATGTACGAGTAATTATGTTGAGCAAAATAAAGAAATTGAACACATTTCTAGAATTTTTCAATTAAATGATTATCCAAATAAGTTAAAAGGACTGAAAAGGGGTCATCAGAACTTGAAATGCATTTCCAAATACAGCGATAAAGCCTATATCAATTAAAGTTTCCTGCATGATTTAAATTACTAAAAAAGCCAAAGTTTAGTTTTTGTAAATTAAGAGAAACTAGTAACGGAAATGATCAATTAAATTGAAAAATTAAAACTCATTGGTTTTTTGATACTTTTCAATTTAACTGACTTATTTTATGATTACTTTTATAACCTATATTTTGTCTATTTTTTTATCAATATATTAGGCAAATTTTTATGGTATAATTAGGTTAAAAGTTAGAATTTAGAAGTAATACTTGTCTTCTAAACTGTGGATTGATAAGTAAATTATTTATTAGAAGTGTTTTAATGTGATTTGGAGAAATTGAATGGACTGGTAATGAGTTAAAATTTTGTGTTTAAGAAGTAATGGAATAAACTTTCTGATTTCTGAACCTTTATATTTAAATTGTTGCAACACAATAGATTTGGATAATGGGGTATGGCTTTATATATATTTATTGTAATTAAAGATAATAGTAACTTTCATTTTTGGAGATTTAGGTTGCTGCACAGAATTATTTAAGCATAAATTTTAATAAAAGAAAAAAATCTTCAGAAATGTAATTCATTCTGTTTTTTTATGATTCCTTTTATAATCCTGATTCTTTATACAAATCACTAAAAATATAATTAAAACAATTACTGGGTTTTGCTACATCAATAAAACTACTATTGATAAATACATACCAAAAATATATATGATCGTTCTAGTCTTTTTGTTACAGTACTCTTTTGATAATTTTCAATTTCAATTATAAATTGAAACACTGATGTCTATACTTTTATTATCGACTGTTTATTATCTCATAAACTTATGCTGTAGTTGCATTTATGGAAGAGTAGAATTTCAAAAAGTGAAAACTTTATAACTGCAAATAGTGTACGTGTTTGCATTTATTTATATTTTCTGGTGAGTGAAAAATATTTTATCTGTTTATTTCTTAGTTAGTAATGAATTCATTATTGTTTTTTTTTTTAATAAATCAATTTATATACATGAGAAATTTGTTATGGCAAAATTTATGGGATAAATATGTAAAATGTTACGAGACACACGTCGTAAAATGAAATAAATGCATAAAGACCATAGTTTAAGACTTTAAGAAGAATATAATATCCAAGAAAAAACAAACACTTTTATTTTTATTGTTATTATTAGCTTTCTTAAATGTAAATAATTTGAACAGAAATTGGGTGGAAGAATGTTTGAATTAGTAATTGTAAATATAATTCTTGAAAGATATAAGAAGGATATTACAAACTTTTACTCTTTCACTTGGATACACATCAGTGGTACCAATTTTTTATAACTTATTGTCTGTAGAATGTATTTTCGTAATATATATGTTGCCATTATTTTCATAATATTAAATTATTTATTTATTATAATAGGGATTACACTTCCATAGCAGGGGAAATTTATTGTTTTTAGTTAGCTAAATTTGAAGATAACACAAATTGAAAAGGTTATATTTTTAACCATTCAATTAAATAAATACAGGTAACCCCCGTATAACACGGGAGTTACGTTTCAAAAAAATTGCCGTGTTATATGAAACAAAGAACTAGTGAAAAAAGAGGGGTTAGATTCCAAAAATTAAAAAACATGCTGTTAAATCCTTACTTAAATCGGATTTATTATTCATTTTTTTCATAGGTAAAAAATACTTATTTATTATTTAAGAAAATATTTACCAGAGGATTATTTATCCTATATGATGATCTCCGCATGAGCATCATCAACTGGTAACAGTTTTTAGGTACATTCGTTAATAGCGGTTGCTCTGCAACGGGAGTGCGCTGCTGTTTGTAGGCATTTAGGAACGACGGTGAAAGAAAGATGGCAGCGCCCACACTATCAATAGTATCGTGATGGAGGAATCTATAATTCTAAAATGAGCTTTTAGAGGCAAAAGAAGGGTCCCAATTGTAAAATTCAACCATTAAATGGATTATTTGTTGAAAGAGCATTCAAAGTAGCCACAAAAACAATTAGAATGCTCGCGCGGAGTTATGCGGAAGTATAAAAGAACGCACCCTTTATTACATTTCATGTTGTACGAGGGTTTTACCCAATTCCCGAACCGTGTTAGAGTGAACCCGTGCTATAAAACCACCGTGTTATATGGGAGATGTTCTGAATTCTCGAACCATGTTAGAGTGAATTTGTGCTATAGAAGTGCCGTGTTATACGGGGGTTACGGTTACCTGTATAACATAACAAATTATAACGTTTTAACAACGATCCCATTAATTACTGTAAATTAAGATAGCCAGACAAGAATTTATACGATTTCAAAATCAGAACATTTTTACAGGAAACAGAAATTAGAACATTTTTGAATCACCATTCAGTGTATGTACACCATTGATTAGTAAGAAAATTCTACAATTCTAATTGTTTATTCAGTATACTACACCCTTTGTCAGAAAAGTTTCAGGATAAAGCTCATAAATAACAGAAAATTGCAATTACCAAGTAATGATCCTAGCTCCTGTCAAAGTAGTCCCCTCAGCTATCTATACACAATTGCCAATGTTTCTGGAGGTATTGGAAGCAAGCAGAGAAAGCTTCAAGTGTGATGCTTGTTAGCTCATTTGTCACATTCCTTTGGATGTCTGCAATATCTTGACAAAATGTCCTTTTCAGTTGCTTTATTCACTAACAGAAACAAGAAAAAATCACACTTTTCTGACAAAGGGTTACAACTAAAAGGGACATTTCATCAAGATATTGCAGACATCCAAAGGACTGTGACAAATGAGCTAACAAGCATCATACTTGAAGCTTTCTCTGCTTGCTTCCAAGACCTCCAGAAACATTGGCAATTGTGTATAGATAGCTGAGGGGACTATTTTGACAGGAGCTAGGATCGTTACTTGGTAATTGCAATTTTCTATTTTTTACAAGCTTTGTCCTGGAACTTTTCTGACAAACGGTGTAGCAGGTGCATAGCATGATTACATTGTAATAAAAAAAGGAATTAATTTATATTCATGTATTAAAGGAAATTAGGGTTTCTTTTACTTAGCACCTGTCCATTACAATTGCATTTAGTAGGCCTGCTTGTTTGATATGCAGGATGCTAAGAAGAATAATTACATTGTTGGCTATGTAATTGATTTAAAACTGGTGCAGCTAGCACATATAGTGTAAATAACAGCTATATGTATTGACTAAACAGGATTCTTAAATTAATTATATACTTTCTTGATGATTCTATGCAATTCTGAACATAATTGCTCAGAATAGCATCAGTATAGAATCATTGTGATAATTTTAATATTTCTGGTGGTTACATTTTTCCATTATTAATTGATAAATTAATCTGAGTTACTTCTGCACATCAGACATTCTTTTGAGTTCAGTGTAGTTAACAAAATAATATGAAATAATGTAACAACAATCTATTTCAAATGGTGCTGAAAATTAATCAATCAGATGTGATGCTAGCCATTCACAGCCAGTTATTGGTTAGGAATGAGACTGAAGCTCATTCCTTAAGAAATATAGTTTTACAAATATATGAATAATTATTTATCGTTTACTCTGATTGTTGGAGAATTAATCATCACTTAATGATTAATTGGTACAAGAGCTGATTAGTATGATTAACTATTAGTAAATAATTACTTAGTACATCTTTAAATGCTTGGTTTGTCTTTCCATTATAAAAAGTGTTCAAATGTTACAAAAATATTTAATTTTGTCTCTTGTTTTATCATTAAAATTGTTTGAATGTTTTAAGAAACTGAATGGTTAAATACTGCATTTTAGAAAGTAGTATGCTCCAAGGATGGAGTGCAGCACTGAAAGCACTTGGTTCTAAATGTGTATATGTAAAAGCAGTAATCTGCTTTTACATACACACAAAGCAGTCTGTTTTTTTATTTAATTTTATTAAAATAAATGTGTAAATGCTTGTAGTGGTACGTCAGGATACGAAATTAATCCGTTCCGAAACTGAGATCGTATCATGAAAATGTCGTAAGGTGGATCATCTTTTCCCATACGATTACATGTAAAACCAAATAATTCGTTCCAACGAGAAAAACATACTCAAATTAAAGCCAAGTAATACATTAAAAAAAATAACTATAGTAAGAAAAACAAATGAAAAATGCGAACTAATGTAACGTCGTATGGTGAGTTTTTGTTCGTATCATGGAGCAAAAATATGTTCGAATTTCATGTCATATCCTGAAAATTTCGTATGCTGGGGCATTCGTAACCTGAGGTACCACTGTATATATCTGCTCAAAACAAATAATTAGTACAGAAAAATGTGTTTTGTATTTAAAGAAATCATATAATATTTTAAACATTGTTTTCAAAAATTTATTTATTCATACATGTATATATTTTTTACAGATATTATGGATCAGATGATGAAATTGAAAGTGGAGAACAAACTGAAAAAAGAAAGCGAAAAATCATAAAGAAAGTTCTGAAAGAAGCAAAGGAACGAGAAAAGAAATTTAAAGAATATAAATTATTAGAAGTAAATGCAGATGTGTCTTCAGATACTGAAAATATACCTAATAAGAAAATTAAATATGATGATTCATCTGTAAATGGCGTAAAATCTGAATTAACGACAGAAACATTTGATGGTGATGAAAGTCGTGATTCTGACAATTCATCTGTACAAGCACAAACAGTAGAATCAAAAACAGCTGTAAAATTGTCAAAAAAGAAAAGGAAATTGTTAAGGAAACAGGAGAATGCAGCAAAAGAATACACTGTTATTGGCGAAGACGTGTCTCGTAAAAAGCATCAAGTTCAACGTGTTCTACCCGATTGGCTTGCTAATCCAATTACTGTGGATTTGGATTTACATAAGAAAGAAATTCCAGTTGAAGAATATGATAATCTTGATAAATCTATTCTTAAAAATTTAAAAACTTTTAAAATTTCACATTTTTTTCCAATTCAACAAGTTGTGATACCAGAACTTATAAATTCAAATTATAAAAGATGGTATTGTCGACCCGAAGACATCTGCGTATCTGCTCCAACTGGAAGTGGAAAAACTTTGGCTTTCGTCATACCGATTGTTATGGCTTTAAAAGATCGAGTTGTTACGGCAGTAAGATGTTTAGCCGTGTTGCCTGTACGAGATTTAGCCGAACAAGTTTTTAAAGTTTTTTATAATTACTGTCAAAGTACTACATTGACGGTAGCGAAACTGACAGGAAGCAAAACATTTGCCGAAGAACAAAAAAGTCTTGTTAAAAAAGGAATTCGTGGATTTCATAGTTTAGCTGATATTGTTGTAGCTACTCCAGGTCGACTTATCGATCATCTACATAGCACAGATGGTTTCTCTTTGTCTCACTTACAGTTTCTTGTTATTGACGAAGCAGATCGAATGATGGAAGAAATTCATCAAGGATGGTTGAACGAAGTAGAGAAAGCCATATATGGAGAAAATGCTCAAAAGATCAATGGTTGCTGCTGTCAAGAGCAATTGTATTCAAAAGTTAATTGTTCTTATTTGACACCTTGCGTCCACGGACACATGTCTGATCCACTGCAAAAACTTCTTTATTCGGCCACATTGTCGGAAGATTCTGATAAAATTCAACAACTTTCCCTCTTTTGTCCAAAACTTTTCACTAGTACTATTGATCCAAAGTTAATTAAAGTATCAAAATATAAGAAAAATGACAAGTCTATCAATAAAATTACAAATGAACCCACTATAAAATATGTCACTCCAGCAGAGTTGACAGAATATTTTGTTGTTTGTAATCCAACCTTGAAACCCTTAGTGGCATGGTATCTTGTCGTATTGAGAAATTATAAAAAAGTTTTATGTTTTACAAAATCTGTCGAGAGTTCTCATAGATTACATTTGGTTTTAAAGAGAATGGGTAAATTGACAGTAGAAGAGTTTTCTTCTAAAGTGCCAAACTCTCAAAGAAAAGAGAATTTAAAGAAATTCATTTCAGGAAAAGTAACAGTTTTAGTTTGTTCTGATGCCATGGCACGAGGAATGGATATCAAAGATGTGGACTGTGTGATTCTTTACGATGTTCCATTGCATCTTAAGACATACATTCATCGTGTTGGCAGAACTGCTAGAGCCGGTAAAGAAGGAGTTGCCATTACTTTGATGGAAGCCGGAGAGAAAAGAGATTTTTTGTTAATGATGAAATCAGTTCCGGGACAAAAGTTATCCGAACTTAACGTGTTACAAGAAGAATTAGAGACGTTTAAAGAAAAATACGAAGTTGCCATAAAAGAAATGGCACATCACTTGACAAATGAACAACAGAAAAAGTCTCGTTCAAAACACTTAAATAAAAAAAAAATAAATATGTTAAAAAATAGTGATAAATATAAATAATAATATAACATATATTGATAATAAAACTTATTTTTAAATATTTAGAGTATTATTTATTTTGGTACATTTAATGCTATGCTAAGAAAAAATATTTAACAGAGAGTGTACCAGTCAGAGAAATCAGGGAAATTGTGGAAAAATTCAGGGAGGAGAAATTCCTTCATAAAGTTAAAAATTCACATAAAAGGGAAGGATTTTAGGGAAAACGAAAAGTAATCAGGAAATTTTTACATGCCAAATTTACAGCAAAATTAACACTTAGTTTTAAATTTTTTATAAGCATTTGAAAGTTTGCACATTGTATGACAACATTTCACTTTCATAAGTTAAAAATACATTATAATTTTGTGTCAAATTGATTGTATTTGAATTAGTACAATGATTATGCTTTTTTATTAATTAAGTTTTTGTAATAGTATTTTGTCCTTGAAAGTTAACACTTTTTACAGGTTCTCAAAATATAAATATTTCAATTTATATATCATTAATTATGATATAAATTTGTATATTTATTGTCTTTTTGAGCATTGATCTTGGTACAAAATGCTTTTTTGGTGTTTTTACTACAATTTTTAATATTTGAATAGAAGTTTCTGAAGAAATAATAATATATATGTACGTCTAAATTGATTAGTGTAAAAATTTCTTTATAACTATAATGGAAAATTTATTTAAATGAAGTGTATAAAATTGGGTGAATCCACATTCTTTGTGTTTTACTAAATTATTTATGTATCATACTGGTGATAGGGTTTGATGGTTTTGTTCAGTAACTTTTTAAAATTGATTTATGTTTGTTTTTTGTAACTAAAATGACTTGGTCCAAAGATAAAAAATAGCTAGTAAAGAACAAATAGATGATAATGCAGTATGCAAAAAATGTAATGCATGAGTGTAGATCCTTATAGCACAGAAGGGACATTACCTCCAATTATTTTGTAGTGACAAATTGTTCCCCCTCAATGTATTTTTATGTTATACTGTAAAAACATTAGGAATAGAAATGAGTTATATATAGTATAACAGCTATATTTTAATTTTTCTATCCATTCAAAACCAAATGAGAAGTTTTTCTTATCACAATATCCCCAATATGTATACAGATCAACACTAATGCTGAAATGCAAACAGTCGTTTTTCACTCAGCAACATGGGACAGATTCCTTGCAACTACTGCACACACTACAGACAAAGTGGCTTCTTGCAACCAAACTACAAAGGCTACATATAATTTACCTAATAAGTTGTCCGAACCCAGTCTAAATTATAATGTAAAGTACGAGACATCATAACTAATTTTAAAAAACCAGCAACGAGTTGCTTTATTTTCCGGCAACATTTAAAACGGTGTGTGGAGCCGTCTGTTTTATGATACTTTATTGTTAAAAACTATATTTTTAATTATAAAATGGAATAAAGCTTAATTTTGAGGATAAGAACAGGTTTTATAAAAATTTATAAATGCTAATAATAAATAAAATCCTTATTAAGTCCGACCATACTCGAGATACAACACACGATCCCCTTTATCTCCCCACCTCGTTAACCTTTAACCATCAAAATTTAATAGCATCAATTCCCCTAATACATAAAATTTCAGAAAAGCAAAGGAGTTATTATTTAAATATATGTTTAATACAATACAATTAAAAAAATATATATTGATTACGTGGTTAAAGCAGTTGCCATTTTTGAGGGTAGGATTGAATCTGGGTGAGCAACTTTCCAAGAATATTTTATGGGTGGTCTGTCTCAAGTATATCAGATATATATGCCCATCACTATCTTCAATTTTGCCCCTGGCCGAACCAAAATAGATTGGAAAAAGGCAAGGTATAGAGTTAAAAATGAGAAAACAAATATCACAATTTTCATTCAAGTTTAAAACATTAAATAAGAAAATTCGCTTTGCATGTCCTCAAATATCGCATATGGAATTCCACCCACTTCTAATTAACACAGAAGGCTGAAACTTTGGGCACATATCTAATACTATATTTCAATTATGTATAGAATGACCTATTCCTCTCCTACCATACTCTCCATTCCGAAATACAATAACTACAACCAAATGTAGAATTTAATCCTTACGTTGCGTGCATAATACACAATTGTGATGTATATGGTAGGTGAGGCCATCCCTATCTCTCACTCGAAAAACATGACTAATAAAAGTGTTTATTTTTAGTTTTTCAACGTTACATATTCACGGATCAGATTACAAAATTTTTGTTTGCATAACAGTAATAAATAACATTAAATATTTTATTTTAATAAATAAATTATTTTTATTTGCAGATTTGAAGTACAGCATTTTTCGAAGTAACATGCGTTTTCATAACATTAAATCATGTTCCCTGAGACGAATCCTTTACACTTGTGGAGCATTAATCATCACACTGAGTTTTATCTTGCTGTTGAATCGAATCACTTCGCATCCAACTTTCCGCAATTTTTGGGCAGGAGACATTGTCGACTTCAGCAATTCAAACAACGTAACAGGTTATCCTTATCCAATAGTTCCGGATGTTGTTCATTACGTTCGTTTTCGGAATCCACAGTTGAATTTCGTCGATATGATAAACATAAAATCTGTATACGTAAATCACAAACCGAGTGAGATAGTGATACATTGCGACTGTCACAACTTAACAGGAAAGTATTGGGATATGGTGAAAGAAATACCAGGTTTGCGTGTACAGTACAAAAAAATACCCACTTACATTTTTGGCAAACGTCTTAGCTCCGTGTATCACTCTTCAGATATTGCTCGACTTCAAATTTTAATGAAGTACGGAGGAGTATTTTTGGATAGTGACGTTTATGTAGTAAAGCCTCTTCATTATTACAGGAAATTCGAATTTGCATTAGGTTGGCCACCGAAACAATTTTTAGGTACGCAAGTTCTGATAGCCCACAGGAATTCTCGGTTTTTGAAATTATGGTATCAGTCTTATAAGTACTATAGACCTACAAGATGGTATTATAATGCTGGAGAATTGCCTACAGAATCCATACTTTTGTTCCGTCCGGATTTCGTTCACAGGGTGCCTTACGATTTTGGTGTTCAGAATTTGGCTTTCATGCTTTATGGTGTAAGAAGTCCCAACTGGAGAGATTATCATACTATACATCTCTTAATAAGACACCGGAAATATCTTGTTCCTGATGATCACTTGGAAGATTTCGATGAAAATAATATCAAAACTTATAATAAAACTTTCGGTGATATGGCTAGACAGGTTTTATTTGGGAAAAGTGATATGATTTTTGTTTAGGAGAGCTGAAAATTTGGTTGTGATACTTAAGATCTGTTTTTATAAATATTCTATACATTGTATTTAGATATATATACAAGAAATATGTATATAAAACTATGACATTGTTTTCATTATTGCGCTACTACATGAATAAGTAATTTGGCTAGAGGTAGGCGTTAAGCCACCACACGTGATAAATTTAATAATTAAAAATGAATAAAATTAATTCTGAATACACTGGAAGAAAATAATTGACTCGATGTGTGTTCAAGTCCCGCTTTGGGTCGAGCCTAATAGATTTATGGGATTTAAATGAATATTTTATTTTACTCGAACGTGATCTGGTGGAGAAATCTCGGCAAACTATTCTAATACTAGCAACAAAGCTGTAAACAATATGCGGAGTTTAGGAGCACGGGATTTTCCAGTTCTGTTGGCCACGTAAACTGGGATAAAGACAATATAAGAAAGCAAGAAATAAATGTCATTTTAAGAGACATGACCATCAGTATGGAGTTTGATATAAGCAGTTTTACAGGGGAATTTTAGGGATGGTTACAAAGCGAAGTTTTACTGGTTTTCCCGAGAGGCAGGCATACATCCTAAGCAAGACGATAGTATGATACTTTTCTTAATATAATATCTTGGTGGCCAAGCGAAAATTTTGGAAATACGTTGGTGTCCTTTTAAAGGAATTTCAAAATATCAGTTTATCTTTCATAAGAACCTACAATAAAACTTATACGATGTACCAATTGAATTATGGTAACTAACTAATGTACAGTGTGATATACCTAACGAGCTAGAATATACTAAATAGAGTGACTTTAGCGACGCCATGTTAAAAAAAAATTGAATACACATTCGCCATTTTCCTTTTAGTCAAGAGGGAGTTCCATTTGTGTTGTGTAAAGGCAACAAGCTAGAATATTCTAACTCGTGTAAAAGTGTGCAAAGAAAAGGAAGAGTTTTAACACTTAATTAACTAAGATGGTGCGAGTCAAAATGACCTTACTTATATTTTGTGTTTAATTTAGAAAATAAGACATTTCTTTCTTTAAACCTTTATTTAAATGTTTTGTAAAGAAGGCAAAATATTCTGTAGCGATAGCTTAAATGCATTTCTAAACATTCTTAATTTTAATTTTCCGACTGTTATATATACATATTAAGGAAAAACATTGTCAAATTTTACCGTCAGAGTTTTTGTAAATCTCCACGTTTTGAGACCTGAAGCCAAAAATTAACAAAAAAATATTCCTTATATTCGTGTGCTGGCGTCTGTAAGAAACGAAATTTGGCATTTAACCCTACATATATTCTGCAAAATATAAAAATATTGTCCGAAAAAATTAACAACGTACTGATATGGTACGGATCAAACTGACCTGAGTACAGTACATTATAAATAAACAATCATATGGCCGAGAGTAAAAAACCCTTTAAGACTTGCCTCGTATTTAGATTATAAAAATAGTTTTATTGAGGGTTAAGTACTACACTTAACACTTTAATCTTACCTTCTTGATAATAATTAAATAAAATCTAGGAAATAGTTAAATTCGAAATGAAACAATCTAGATTTAGACGAGAAAAATACATTCTAAATTGATAATCTTGCCGACCACAGTATAGACTTGAATGTTTTGACTTAAAGTAAAATGGCGGTCGATAGTACTCGTCGTTGCCACTATAACAATGGTCACAGCCGTCTATGTAGTATATTCTAGCTCGTTGGGTATACCGGTTTATTTTTTCCATGCAAGAAACACTAATAAGTAAACTACTGCGCTCGGTATGTTAACTTTTTCAGTTTCAATGCCTGGTAAAGCAGCTTAAATATAGCTGGATAAGCGAACCAATGACATACTCCGTTACAAATAAAATTGGCTCGTTTATCTACCTGTATTAAAACTACTTTATCAGCAACGCGTCAATAGAATGTCCGTAAGCTGTTTCGTTTTATTGAATGTTCATTAATTCACTTTTGGACAACTTTTATATGGAAGTAATTTATTGTATTATGCATTGAAATAAGTGTTTAAAATGAACTAAATTATGTAGCAGATAGAAATTTTATTAAGAACAACTGATACATGAAGTTTTCTAAACGCAATTTATTAGCAAAGTAAACAGAGTAATGTGGATTTCACTCTATCTATATTGTTAATAAATTAAACAAGGGGAGAGCAAATTCCTTTCTGATTAAAATACCATACTTGTTTATTATCGACTTCTGGAGGAGGAGGAGGTTTGGCACAAACGGAGCTGTGACCACATATCCCGAATACGTTCCAAGGACCTCCACACTCTTCTCCTATACGCTGTTAATTAAAAATAAATTTAAACTTTATTCATTAATTACATTACATTATCATACTTTTAGCTTTGCATGCTTGATGCTTACTTTGGCACAGACTTCACAACATGCACATACGTCTTTTACTATTCCAGCTGGGCATCTGCCGTGTGGCTTGCATAGCGATTTGTCGCAAGAAGGACAATCCAGAGCATATGCTCTAAATGCAAAGAATGAATTAAATTTGATAGAAGGCCAAGAAAAAAGAGCAAAACCCAAATATATGTACTTACGCTGCTATACAAATGACTAGAAAAGAGCAGAGAATTGAAGATTTCATTCTGAAAAGTGAAGATTAATATACATAAGATATAAACTTTATTTTTAAACCGATTGTGTACTTACTTGAGGTATATTTCGTTATGTAGAAATGAAATTGGAAAGAGCAGATAACTTCAATCGCCCCTTTTTATATTTCCCAAAATATTGATAATTAGCTTCAAGGTTAACCTATGAGAAAACATACAAAAGGAGATTTGGTATCTCTAGTAAGATGATAAAAAAAAATTGTAAAAAAAACACTTAGATAATAAAAGGTCGATTAAAATTTAAAATATATAATTAATTAATGTTTGAATTTTTCAAAGAATGAAACTTATAATGTTGATCCACTCTGATAGGGGAAACACTAAAAGCGTGATGTCAGAGAATGCAAGTTAGGCAATGCAAGCCCCAGAATGCCGGCAAAAATATTTTTTCATTGAGTTTTTTTAATAAAAAAGACATGAATTTTTGTTATAAGATAAACATACTGTACGTGCATTTTGTATCCCACGCCTGGTGTGAGGTTAAAAAATATGTTAAACCCATGCAAGTATCAAAAGTACTCAACTATAAATCAAATGTACAGTACCTATAAATATGTAGTATAATATATTTAAAATGTATAATGTGAATGAATTGTATAAGTTGTCTAGAAACTAATGGGGAAGTAGTATCATTTTATCAATTATAATAGATTATAGTCAATTCAAGTTACGTTACGTATGGAAACAATTGACTACAACATTTTTTCATTAATTGAATAAATAAAGATTATTGCTACGAACAGTGAAGTAAGATAGAATAAATCAAGATTTTTAGAGCAGATATTCAGCCGATTTTTCCCCTTTTCTAAAATACCCGAATATTCTTCTGGAAAAAGTTGAGGAAAATATGATTTAATACTTACAAAACTGTTAGAAGTAACTTTAAGTGAGGAGTTAATACAATAAAATACTTTAATTTTGATTACTGACTAATGGAAGGTGAAGACTGTTCAATTTCTCTAAGATTCTGTCCTATTATATCTTCTAGCAAGGTATTTGGATACGGTACTAAAAGAAATATGGACACATTCCAACATAAGCGTAGTACTCGAATTCTACTCAGTTCTAATTGAACTTTTCCTTTAATTTAACAGTGCCCTGTTAGCATTGACACCAGTTAAAAGTAACATCATCTGTGGTGCATGGATAAAGATGTTTTCCGAAAGAGAGTATCTCATTCAGCCCATCATTGCTACATACATAGTTTTTGTAAGCAATAAAGGCATACATCAGAAGGAAAGGGTATCAACGGATTTAATAGAATGTCTATGGTATATTTCACTGCAATATTTTTTTATGGCAACTAATGATTTCGCTTTTATTAGATTTTTTCATTACGAAGCTCTAAAGGGATCTACTCGTGTTGAAATTGTATTTTGTTGTACTGACTTTCAATAATTACTTGTATTTTGTATATGACAGCTTTTTCTATTTTCTCTGTTCTACTTCTACATTAATTTTATTGTTGAATAGATTAAAAAAAGCTTTCACAGGAATTCACTTTAATCCATCTTTATTCGTTTACATAAGAACTGAAGATAATAAAACATATAAAATCACAAATTAACTTTTCACTGTTTTCAAATATCAATTTTTTATACAGATTTAATCACCAAATTATTCACTATAAAGAATACAGGATGTATCGAAAGAATATCGGAGTTTTAAATTTGTATAATTTGTCTTACTTGCAGTATAAAATAAACTATGTTTGATATGAGAAGAATGTACAAGGTTTTTGTAACACATCACAAGTGCTCAAAATTGTTAATTTTGTGATGTGATGGCGACTCTCGAGCTGTTTCTTTCAGAATAGAGTACAAAATGGCGGATCCTGAGCCATCATCGCGTACACTGGCGCAGTCACGCTGCGGTAGGAGGAAACAGCTTTATTGTTGCCGGTCAGAATTTTCACAGCTACTTTCATTTCTCACTTAGGTTACAAAGTTGTACAGTACGTTTGCTCGTATAACCGTACGAATTATTTAAAACTCCGATATTCCTTTCGATATACCCTGTATAGACAGAACGATATACAGGGTGGTAAAGAAAGTCACTTAACACCCTGCTACTTCCAGGATGTTTTTACAGAACATAGAATGTATCCAAAGTTAATTTGCTCATATCAGTTAATTTTCTCATATTGGCAGCCATACTGAATGAAACTCCGAAATTTTAAATGAGAAGGTTGTCATGTGATCATTTAGGGCCAGAATTTCACAAGATCTCTCTGAAAAATTTTGTGATCTGCCTCAAACGGTTACAGAGTTATTAATGTGTTTCCTTTGTAGTTACAAGTTAAAGAACAGACAACACAATGTTCTTAACACCGAAATTGTCTTGATGATAAGGCAGAGAAGTTCGAAGGTGTTTTTACAAGATTTTAATCAATGTCATCCACACCATGTGCCTGTGCCATAGGTAGTAGTTGCCAACCTACTCCAGAAATTCAGGGAGACGTGGTCGGTCCATGATAAGAAACGTTTAAGCCTGTGCAGTGCCGGCCCGAGGCAAGTTTTAGGATGGAGAGAGATCCTATTATGGCGCCCCCTTGATTGCTCCTAATTTATACCCTTTAATTTTCTTTACCACTGAGGCGCCCCCTAGGACTTAGCGCTTGGAGCGGCTGCTCTGTTCGACCTATGGTAGGGCCGGCTCTGAGCCTGTGCAATTACACTGCAATTTCTCCCTCCTGCCATTAGGACAATTTCCATGCGTTCTTCCTGTATTAGGGGCATTGTGTTGCCTGTTCTTCAACCTGTAACAAGAAAGGAAACACGTTAATAACTCTGTACACGTTCGAGATAAATCAAAAAGTCTCAGCAGTCATTTTAACATATTGATCAATCAGCTATACATGCTGTGACGTATTGCAGATTATCACGTTTCTATAAGATTATCATGAAAACCATTCTATTATACAGTTATTAATGACTGAAAAATACACGAAATTTCATTAAAAATGGTAGAACCTGGTTAAAATGTAAAGATCTGCGAAAACAACTAAAAGACTTTTGAAAGTTGTCACATGATAATACTTAAATAACATTTGACAGTAAGACCCAAAATGTAAATTAGGTGCCCATTAAAGACTACACTACAGGAAGTTATGGATAAAGCAATGTTATCATGGTAATAAATCAGAAAAACAAGCAGAGAAAAAAGGCTCCGAGCTTTACTTTGTGCCTTAAAGTTCCTTCACTAATATTGTTCAAAGGTGTTCTAATAATGTTCAGCGAAATTAATATAGACGCAAGGACTTCAAGGAAAAAAGTAAAGCTCGAAGCATTTTTCTTTCAAGATGCTTGTTTTTTTGACTGATTATCATAATAACATTCCTTTATCCAGATCTTTCTGTAATTGTAGTCTTGTTTTTTAGTTTATTCGTTTACGCAAAGCGATACATGGGCAATCTGCCAAAAAGGAATATCTTCTGGGAGGTCGTTTATGGGTAACTGGCCCATATTTAGATGCTATACATGTGAAGGAAACCCAGAAAACTACACGCGGCCAGTCTGTTGGCGAGGCATGAACCCACGACCATCAGCAAGATTCTCTCTTTGATGCACTGGTGGTCTTGTAATCTGTTTAATGTGCATTATCTTCGCATGCTTATCAATACAACACCAATTTATTTTATTTTATTTACAGATGTATTTATTGATCCCAAAAATAATTCGTTCATTGTAATAATTATGTCATAACGATATAGTAAAATCATTGTAATGTTTCTTGCTTTGACCCTCCCAGAGTCCGAGTGGACGAAAACCACCGAGCAGTGGTAATTTAGTTCCTAGGCCTGAACACAGGCTGTTTTTTCCTCTTTCCACCCTGTGGGCACTAGAGGGACTCTTTTAGCAAGCCGGTTATGGGTTCGTCAAGGCCCACAACGAGGAGACCGAGTAGTGAGGGACAGGGCCCGACATACCCGGACGGACCATTTCCCGTAAAATTCCTGGAGATTTTTTGTCCCAGAGCAGTAGACTGCTATCTTGACCATCGGCCATAGGCCGTCTGACCAACAGGCTGGTCACTTGCAGTTTTTCTAGTTTTATTAACATCTCCAAATCCTCCCAGGGAGCACCCCTTGGCAGATCTTACTTCATTATTAGGAAATTGCTACAGTATTTTATTATTTTATGTAATTTCTTTACTTCTGAGTAAAACACATTGATTTAATCAGAATCTTTCCCCTAAATAGTTTTAGTTTTATGTAAGCATGTTAGTTACATGCTTACATAAAACCGTAATAGAAATTCCTGAAATTGATTATGTAATGCATAGTTATAACATGCTTTTAGTGCTAATTATTTTTAACTATTATTTTCATATTTTAAGCAGCTTTTGAGTTCCGACTGCTATGTAATCTTCAAGATAGTATTTAATAGGATTTTGTAATGTATATGTTACAGTCAAAACCCGTTTTTAGTTAGAACGCGTTTTAACTAGTTGAAACTAGTTTGTGTTGAATGTCTTTGTTAAAACCCGTTTTGTCTAGTTGAAACTAGTTTATACTGAATGTCTTTGTTAAAACCCGTTTTGTCTAGTTAAAACTAGTTTTAACTCAAATTCATTTTTGACTACCAGTNCCTTGAGAACAGCTGGTATCATCTTTCGCGGATCATTCTCATAAAATCTACAGGAGGAGAAAGGTTTAAAGTAGGGTGTATACTAGCTGGCCGTATATTTTTAAATATTTTTCAAAGATTACGTTTTTTATTGCGATTTCCGACCTCTCCGACTTAATTAAACGTATATATAATAAAATATATTAAATAAAAAAATTTAAAAAAACTATTGGAGATCGTTTTTGATATCAGAAAGTAGCTTTAAATAACTTTACCTAAGTAAAATCGGTGCACTACAACTGTCGAATGATGAATAAAATTTCATATAAAAATCCCATAAAAAACAATTAAGCGTTAATCCTGCGTCATTAAAAATAGATTAAAATCGTGATAAAATTGTTTCGCGGGAAAAAACTTTTGCAAAAATTTTGGAGGCAAAAACATTAAAAATTAAAAAAAAATTTTCCTGGAGGGTCCAAACGACCGAGTTTTATGTAACTCTGTGTAAACTTGACGAGTTAACTCGTCAATGGGGACGAAGGCGCCNTCAAAAATCAGAAAATTTTCACAAAATATAAAATTTGATTTCTGCTATACAGATTTGAAAAATATCAAAAATATTTTACTACAAAACAGTAATTTTGGTTATATAATTATAGATGATAAAGCATAGAGGCTATTACATAAGGTAGTCTAAGTGCATCTGTACTTATATTACCTTTACCTGTCAAAACATCGTTAAGTTATATATTATATAAGACCGTAACTTTATGAAATTTGTTCTTAATGTAAGATAAGTATGTTTCCTCTTAAGAGAATAGAAAATTTCCATTAAGTAATCGATTAATTACATTAATAAATTAGTGGAACAGTTTTGAAAATACGCAGAAGTAGATTTTTCAATCATTTCTATAGCAACAGATGTTCAGCTCAAGTAGAATATTATTGTGGTCGATGCTGATTGAATATTTGAAGCAAACGTCTCGCCTCTTCTACTATACTTAATGGCTAAAGAACAGATTTAGGTGTAAAAAGATAATTTTACTACACATTTCTGCTGTTTTTCACCGAATATCTTGAAATTAAGAACATTCCAATAATATTTAATTGAAGATACTGTACATTCTCCCACTGATTAAAATTTATGAAATATAAACTTGAAAGTTGTTTATCGATTTAAATTTATCATAGAAAATGTCTTCGAATTCGGAAGATTGTCCCGTTTCACTCAAAATTCTGTATCCAGTTATTGCGTGCAGTAAATTATTTGGTTATGGTACTAAGAAGAATATGATTTGAAGTACAGCATTTTTCGAAGTAACATGCGTTTTCATAACATTAAATCATGTTCCCTGAGACGAATCCTTTACACTTGTGGAGCATTAATCATCACACTGAGTTTTATCTTGCTGTTGAATCGAATCACTTCGCATCCAACTTTCCGCAATTTTTGGGCAGGAGACATTGTCGACTTCAGCAATTCAAACAACGTAACAGGTTATCCTTATCCAATAGTTCCGGATGTTGTTCATTACGTTCGTTTTCGGAATCCACAGTTGAATTTCGTCGATATGATAAACATAAAATCTGTATACGTAAATCACAAACCGAGTGAGATAGTGATACATTGCGACTGTCACAACTTAACAGGAAAGTATTGGGATATGGTGAAAGAAATACCAGGTTTGCGTGTACAGTACAAAAAAATACCCACTTACATTTTTGGCAAACGTCTTAGCTCCGTGTATCACTCTTCAGATATTGCTCGACTTCAAATTTTAATGAAGTACGGAGGAGTATTTTTGGATAGTGACGTTTATGTAGTAAAGCCTCTTCATTATTACAGGAAATTCGAATTTGCATTAGGTTGGCCACCGAAACAATTTTTAGGTACGCAAGTTCTGATAGCCCACAGGAATTCTCGGTTTTTGAAATTATGGTATCAGTCTTATAAGTACTATAGACCTACAAGATGGTATTATAATGCTGGAGAATTGCCTACAGAATCCATACTTTTGTTCCGTCCGGATTTCGTTCACAGGGTGCCTTACGATTTTGGTGTTCAGAATTTGGCTTTCATGCTTTATGGTGTAAGAAGTCCCAACTGGAGAGATTATCATACTATACATCTCTTAATAAGACACCGGAAATATCTTGTTCCTGATGATCACTTGGAAGATTTCGATGAAAATAATATCAAAACTTATAATAAAACTTTCGGTGATATGGCTAGACAGGTTTTATTTGGGAAAAGTGATATGATTTTTGTTTAGGAGAGCTGAAAATTTGGTTGTGATACTTAAGATCTGTTTTTATAAATATTCTATACATTGTATTTAGATATATATACAAGAAATATGTATATAAAACTATGACATTGTTTTCATTATTGCGCTACTACATGAATAAGTAATTTGGCTAGAGGTAGGCGTTAAGCCACCACACGTGATAAATTTAATAATTAAAAATGAATAAAATTAATTCTGAATACACTGGAAGAAAATAATTGACTCGATGTNAACACAGAAATAAATAACACAAAATAAATTGTAGCTATGTATGGATTCCGCGTGACACGTCCGAACATGTAAGCTGAACAATAGTGTGGGGGGAGTGAGTAATCGAGAGTTGCGTGGCGCTCAAACAAAAGACGAATCGACGAGATTTGAAAATCGCGTAACTCCGGGTTAGCGTAAGTCGGGGTAGCGTAAGTCGGGGTATTACTGTACTCACAAAAATCGTGAGCGGTACATTCCTGATTGTCTTCCAACTTGCAATGAATGCATTGCATCTATTGTTTACCCGTTCGACGACACGTTTCTTTGCAAACCAAACACGCCGTATCATTTTCATCAGCAAATTTCTTCAAATAATATTTTTATAGGTTTAAAATTTTTGTATTACTACAGGGGTTTTAAGTATAATTATGTACCTAAAATCAAACTTAATAACAAAACCATGGAATATTTCCTTGAAAATTCCTGAAAACATTAAACTTTTACTTAGCTTACGTGCCTTATTGCATGAAACTACTCAATTAAAATACTTCGTCCACGAAAATTGTAAATAAACAGATCGATGTTAAAACAACACATTACTCACATATTATTAATTATTTATGATATTAATTTATTGGAAGGCATTACGTTTAACTGATTTAAAGGCTTCCCTTCTTAAACATTTTACTCTCTTAATGTGTTTGACATTGAATGTAAATAACTTATGTTATGCAAAATTTTCTTACAAAATTCCATTACAAAAATTACACAGATTCTTTTCTGCTATGGTAACAATTTTAAAGAAACAAAGCAGTATTAAAGAGTGGAAAATACGTTATAAAACGTGTATTTTGTGACTAGAAACATCGGATAAAACTGAAATTAAGAACATAAAATTAAATTTTGTTCCCTAAATGAAGAATTTTTTTCTTTCTTCGAACAATATTACTTTATTAAGCAAATTGTTTTTTGTTATATTGACATACACCTATTATATACATATATTATAGGTCAGTTCTATTCTTATTTCTCACTTTTTGTATCCTTGGCATTTCTGCTGTTTTTTAGATTTAATATTATTTCACAACAGTTTATAGAAATCCGTTATAAATTTCAAAATTTAGGATACGTTATTGAAGACATTATACAGAAACATTCAGAATTATTGCACGATATTGATTGTATCAATGAATTATATAACATGATATTCGCTATTATATACTGCTTTTTTCTATATTTTATTTCTCTCCTCATCGTTTGTGCATTATTTTTAAATTTGCCTTCTTTTTACGTCTATTGTTTATTACATTTATCAGTGGTAATGATAATGGTCGTCATCATAATTTCTTTTTGGTTATCTAAATTTTCTTCTTCGGTAAGACATTCTTTAACGTTTTTTTTCCTTATTTATTTAGTGGATTTTTAATGATTTTTACTTTTGTATATTTTATCATGGTTGAAAAACATTTAAACGATACTATATTGATTCATGGAACTGTCTTTTCACTATAATGGGAACATTACAATTTCTGGAATGTCTATAAATATTCAAGCCATACGGGCATAAGAATTGCATCTGCAAACGAGCCGACCTTTTCTGCTACTAATTGCTAATGATCCAATTATTCCATTGGCATGCGTGCATATAATCTGCAATAAAAACGTGACGTAGTCGAAGACTATTCTCAACATTCACTCGCACGTCTATTGGTAAGAAGAGTGGTAAAAACCACGAATTGTGAGTCTTTTTTATTAAACTTTTTAACTTCAACATTCAGCGAGACTAGACTTAGTATGAATAGCCTCTTAGATGCTTCGACACTAATCATATCTCTTTCTGCGAACTGTTTTTATTTTTACTGATTTATTACTGATTATTTTTCACTGATTATATTTGCTTTTATTATTTTTATGCATTGTCATGGAAATTTATACGAGATACATTACATGATAAGATTTATTAGCATTACATTTTAAAAGTATGAGATTAAACAAAGAAATTCTTGAGAACCGAAGAATTTATCTCACCTTATGTGTATTAATACGAATTAATTAATGACATAAATTATTAATAATATTTAAAAATTACATTGCTTTCTGTATCGATCGGTTTATATACAATTTTCTTACATAAATTATTCTAATTTTCTTAAAATTCCTTAGGTTAATTTACTTAAGAGTTACTATACACTAGCATATATTTTATCGAAAGTTCCTAGAAAGTGGCTAAAAATTGAATGTTTTTCTATGAATAATGAAAGACAATACAAAAATAATGTTTCAAGAACTTGTCATTTAAGCATAGATCTTCTTTGAGAGGAAAAAATTTGTATTTCAATAATAACCTCCAGTTTGCATAGGAAGATCTTGCATAGTAAGTTGGGGTTTCTTGTCTCTTCGGTTGCCATATCCGTTTCGCCTTACATCTACTTAACTCCTCTCTCGAGATTGAGAAAAGACAATAGGAATTTATAACTCATTATCATCATCAAAAATATGTAAATGTTTTGTACAAATTACCGCGTGTAATAATATTATTAATGAGATGAGACCCTGTATTTCTAAATTGTAGAGTTAAAAATTGATGATATAATAGACATGATTCTGAAAGAATGTATGGCGATCTGATAGATAAAGATTAAAAATACTTTTTTGGTACTTTTGTATAGGCCCATGAGGAAATACCGTTTTACTGTAATGGTGATTTCAAAGCCACCAATACACCATTTTGAGTAAAATAGTATTTGATGACAGAAATCTTTTAATTTTATAAATTTATACTCTACGGCTTTCAGTAATGAACGTTCATTTTTTAATATACAGGTTATTTCTTCGATTAGTTCAAAAGTACAGTAGTAATTTTTAACAATTTTGATGCATTTTAATAAAATTTATGTTTATGCATGTTAATTGCCGTTCGGTATTTTAAGAAAAATGTAATTATAGTTAGATCACACCATCTACAAAAATCTCTCATGGTAAAAGTACACAATTATTCAAATATTAATGAATAACAAGCAGATTTTTAATTAATGAATAATAAGCAGATTTAAAAGCTTTCATTTGTGACCAAATTCTGTCTCAATATATTTATAATAGAATGTGAATAATTCATTTACTGTAATGAATTTCTTATGAATTTGTATGACAATAATTCCACAAATACTTTGCTGCTATAGTAACAGTTATAAGTGCACAAAGCAGCTTGCTAGAATGAATAAATTACCTTTTAACGTGTTTTGTAATCGAACACGTCGGATGAAATTGAAAGTAAAGCCACAAAACTAATTTTTTTTTGTGCCCGAATGTGGATTACGCTTAGAAAATTCGTCAGAAGAGTTTAATACAACGACAACAATAAGAATCGTCTCTAATGATGTGTGACAAAGAGTATTCCATTGCTTTAGAAATACTACAGCCCATTATAAACTGTAATAAAATATTTGGATTCGGTACGAAGAAAAATATGGGAAAACTTCAGAGAGAACATAGCAAATTAACCGAATTCTATTCGTATGTAATCGAATTGTTTCTCTATTGTAATATTATTCTTTTTACTTTAATGTTAATCGCAGATGATGTCGTATGTGGAACGTGGATTCAGATGTTCCCCGAAGGAAAATATTTCGTGTATTTCTTGATACTAATTTCTCTTACGGTCATGACAATACAATTCAGCGTGTTAAAGCGCACCAAATATATCTTACCGAGTAACAATTCAACTTACAAAGACGAAAGAAATTTAATTAATTCTACGGAATTAATTTGCGGAATTTTTCTGGAGATATTTTCTGCGTGGCAATTAATTGTTTTATTTTTTCTCGACATTTGTTTTTACGAAGTACTGAAGAAATTTTCCGATATGGAAATTATGTTTTGTTATGTCGATTTCCAGTTGGCGTTTATTCTAGTAATTGGCCAATTTTCTTCTCTGTTTTGTTTGTTTGTGTCTCTAAGTGTTTTAATTTCTTTTAGATTACGCAATTTAGCAAAAGAATTCTCTGAAATCAATTCCGATAATACAAATCTACCCAATCGCGTGGAAGTGATTATACAAAAACATTCTGAGTTATGGAACTGCATTGAAGCTTTCAATGAAGGATATGACATGATTTGCGCTGTTTTGTATTGTTTCTACATCTATCTCGCCTGCTTCTTCATTAGTGCAGCTGTGTTTACTACGTTTTCTGCTTTGTTCGTCGTTTTGTCGTTTTTTTCGATAATTATGATAACTACTGCAACTTTGCTTTCGTTTGGCTTATCTAAATTCACTTCGATTGTAAGATATTTTCATTTAGGCCTACATTTAAATAAAATACGTAACTCGTTTAATTAATACTTTCTCTTATAGCTGTATGGAAATTTTAATGAAATGAATCGATTTTCTTCCGAAGAATTTTGTATGCTGTACAAATTGAAGGTGTTCTTTCCTCCATTCTCATTATTGCATGTAAATTTTTCTTACACTAACGGTTAAACATTCTGTTACAGATGCTGAACTTTATGAAGAGATTTGACAAACTACCCATTGGAATATCTATTGGCGGATTTTTTTACATCAAAAAGAATTTGCCTATAAGGGTAAGATTATTTTCATTCATTGATAATAGTGATTATAATAATAATATAAGTGTATACTTGATGTATCTGGACCTAAATAAATAAAATTCATTGAATTAAATTATCTTACGTAATTTCTCTTAAGGTTCTTGAAAATGATTTTTACTTGACTTTTATTTGCAGGTAGTCAGCAGCTTTTATTCTATTCTATCTGCTCTTATTGAAATCGGACACAAGAAAAAGACAGGCTGTTTTTCGTACAGCTCTTTTGTAAATACAACGAATAAAACTCTTCTGGAATAAATTTTAATATGCGTGTTAATTGAAATTGGATCGCTTTTTAGTTACCGCTAATTGCGTTTATGCATTATATATGTAACTGGCAGAAGAAGGGTAATCCGGTTTTGAAGTTTTGAGAAGTAATTGTGACGC